GATATTTTTCTAGCCAAGAAATGGGATCAGTATAAAATTATCACCACCACTATCGTGGTACTGCTATTGGGTCGCGAAGAAAGTTCTTGCGCGTCTTTGGGGTTCCATTTTGAAAGGCTTTACTTTGTTTTGACTTCGAGCGCTCTGCCATACTGTTATATGCCATTTTGAAAATTTCTTCTCGCTCTATCGAACACTGGGGTCAGTTTTGTTCTCTAGCTATTTTTATCACTCTTTCAGACCCTTGAGTATGGCATACTCGAAGGGCAACTTTGCACGGTGATCCATTTCCAGTCAAGAAGTCGTAAGGAGCGCACACAGGGCAAGATATGAAAGATGCGCTCAGCTGAAATTCGCAATAGTTTGCTTCGAAGCAGTTGTTAAGAACGTTTTTATAACTATAGCGAGAGCTTCAAAACGATGATTTGTTCGGATATTGGACAATTCCAACAATTAGCTGAAAGTTCCGATTGAAGCACACGTGCACAGAGCTAATGGGAAGGTTCCTGCTAAACTAGGCGTACTTGCTTTGTAACTTCTTGGTATACAAGAGTTGGAAAGTCCAAAAACTTCAAGATCGTGCCGCGACAACTCATCATTTTGAAGGGTTGTCCCTCGCTCTCTACCTTGTATGCAATGCATGACGCGCTTTTCTGCTAACCTGCGACATACGATGAAAAGCGGATTCTCTGCTACAAACTGAGAAGCTTTGCTGAATAAATCGACTGCGATCAAGCCCCACAACTTTTGCGAAAAAGAAATCGTAATGAAGGAAGGTCATGATAACTTTTATAAGGCCAGCAGCTGGCTTCGATCTTCGGAAGCGATGAAGCTATTTCAGTGAGGAGTACTCTTGAAGTATGTAAAAATACTGCTGAACTTTAGCGCATTTGCCGACTATTCCTGACAGCTTTTTCGGACGCTGTCAGTAATAGTCAGTTAGTAACCAGCCAACTGCGCAAGTTGAACTAGCTGGGCTACTCAGGTAGACTTCCTAGAGAAACCACCGAGTTACGGGCCGCAGCAGTGTCGGCAGCATATGCTGCCGACACGCCCACTCGTCCGTGATTGGCTACCACCACACGGGTTACTGTGTGCAGACACGAGCCAGCCAGTCATAGACTAGTGGGCGTGCCGGCAGCATATGCTGCCGACACTGCTGCGGCCCGTAACTCGAGGTTTCTCCTGCAGGTCTATCTGAGTAGGTATTAGTGCTGCTACCCTCGACTCGTGAGACCTTTTGCCCAGTATGTGTCACTTCCGATGACCTAGATATCTTCCTCAAAGAATTATGGTTCAATACCCAACATGATGCTGAAACGACCTTTGCCGAATTGATCTTCTCCATAGTTAAGTATTCTGCAATACCGGGCATATTTAACCCCTTATTGTCACAGGTTTGAGGACCAACAATTTTTATTCTAATCAAAAAGTTTCTTATGTTCCGAGATACATGCATTCGAAGGAGTCAAAAAACGCAAGAGGTTCAAAAAACACAAGAGCCTGCTTCACGACCTGATATCTACCTGTCAAGTATTATAAAAATCAAAACTTGTTAATAATTATGGGAAATGTATACCTCTAGTTAACCAAGCAAACTTCATCGGTTCGTCACCCACTTGGTACCATATAGGAATATCCCATTTGAAGCTAAACATATTAGCTTTGTCTGACGAGATTGTCGGGTGAAATGTCTCAAAAACCACTCACCCATATTCCGGTGTCTGATACTCTTTGAAATACGACGAATTTGGGCTCATTTTGAATCGAGTTTGAGTGATTTCAAAAGCAGAAGAGTTCTTGGCTTCCACGGTCACAAGCGGAAAACCCACCTAAACTCACAAGAGCTACAAAAAATCGGAAATTTGGTAGGGTGGCTCCACAATTTGTTTGCCATATATTTTCACCCAAATCGACTGGTAATCGATGAGCGCAAAATTCTTTCCAAATTACTTGTAACCTCAGGTTTTGCAACTTCACTGACAAATTAAGCCCGATAAAACATCCACTATAACCTGTGTAGTCCATTGTGCGGCGAATTCTGAAATATTCAGAGCTTCTCCATTCGGCCCTTTGGTTTTGGAACCAGCGTTCTCCAACGCATCCCAAAAATCTTCCGAATCTGCGTTACCGTATGAGTAGTTCTTGAGGAAACGCTGAAATTCGTGGGATAATAAGGCTAAAAAGAACTTGAAAAAAAAACCGCCCAATGTTAAAGCCACAAATGCTACCTTGACTCCTTTCTCGAAGTTCTTCTCTCCCATCAGGGCAATGATCATGGCAATAAGCGAGGCCCCTTTGTCATATGTCACAGGATTGAAAACCTCCATAACATCTGATGGATTGTTTAACTCGAAATATAGAGGATGACTTGCAGGAAATGAATCTAACCCAAGAGCAGGTTCCAGCTTATCAACAACAAACAAATCTTT